GATGGCACCATCAAGCTGAAAGCATCCCACTACACGCAGGGAATTACAGCATGTGCCAGATCCAAAATGCCACAGCAAGCATTGGAGTTGTTTGATGACATGCCCCGGGCAAAGGTTAAGCCACATGTGTACAGCTACAGTGCCGCCATCAGCGCATGTGAGAAGGGCGGTCAATGGCAGGAAGCATTGAAGTTGTTTGATGCCATGCCCCAGTCAAAGGTTCAGCCAAATGTTTACAGCTACAGTGCCGCCATCAGCGCATGTGAAAAGGGCGGTCAATGGCAGCAAGCATTGATGTTGTTTGATGCCATGCCCCAGGCAAAGGTTCAGCCTGATGTCATCAGCTACAACTCCACCATCAGCGCATGTGAAAAGGGTGGTCAATGGCAGCAAGCATTGAAGTTGTTTGATGCCATGCCCCAGGCAAAGGTTCAGCCTGATGTCATCAGCTACAGTGCCGCCATCAGCGCATGTGAGAAGGGCGGCCAATGGCGGCAAGCATTGAAGTTGTTTGATGCCATGCCCCAGGCAAAAGTTCAGCCCAATGTCATCAGCTATAACTCCACCATCAGCGCATGTGAGAAGGGTGGTCAATGGCAGCAAGCATTGAAGTTGTTTGATGCCATGCCCCAGGCAAAGGTTCAGCCCAGTGTCATCAGCTACAGTGCCGCCATCAGCGCATGTGAGAAAGGCGGTCAATGGCAGCAAGCATTGAAGTTGTTTAATGCCATGCCCCAGGCAAAGGTTCAGCCCAATCTCATCAGCTTCAACTCCACCATCAGCGCATGTGAAAAGGGCGGTCAATGGCAGCAAGCATTGCAGTTGTTTGATGCCATGCCCCAGGCAAAAGTTCAGCCTGATGTCATCAGCTACAGTGCTGCCATCAGTGCATGTGAGAAGGGCGGTCAATGGCAGCAAGCATTGAAGTTGTTTGATGCCATGTCAAAGCACACTGTGTCGCCAAATTTTAGTTACTTACAATGCTTTGTTGCAGAGCGCCGCAGTTCACTCTGGCGAGATTGGTAGGCAGTTGTTTCTGCAATGCAACTTGCCAGAGGTTCGGACACTGCGAGCATGTGGATCCTCCAAAATTGACCTCCATGACCTTTCGGAAGGAACTGCTTTGCTTGCTTTGCGGTATTGGTTGTCCAATGCAGTCGCCCGAGACTTGGAGAGCAGCGACCCACTGACTTGTATCATCATCACCGGATACGGAAAATCTCGCAAGGACTGGGACACCACCGATGTACGTCAGGCGGTTTTGAGCTTTTTTCAACGTCTGGGACTCAAGCCCAGTCCTTTGCCTGAAAACCCAGGTCGGCTTCGACTTGTCGTAACGAAGAGAAACCTGCCTGTGCTGCGGTGTGCGGTTGGCAAAATCGTGCGATCTGCAGACCTTTTTCCACGGAGTGGTTTTCTTTTGCCCAGTGTGCATTCATGGTGCTAGCATCGTTGCTTCAACCCTTCAGCTGTCCTGTGCCACTTTCTTCTCTGCAGACTGGTTCTGGACATTGGTTTGATTATACCTTCTTGATGATGCTAGCATCGTTCTTCCTTCTTGACATGAATTTCTTCTCCAGACTGGTTCTTTCTGCACCAGATGTTTAGCTTCCCGAGGCGTGGCCAAGAAGTCCAAGACGCAGTGCTATACCAGCGAGCTGGAGCAGGCACGCTCAGTCGTAGGGGCACCATGCAGGATAGGCAATAGGCCTTGCAGTGTAGGCAATAGGCACCCGAGAGTGGGCCTGAGTTGATATATTAATAAATATATATATATATATATTTTAATATATATATATATATATCATATATATCCTTTTTTTATGACCTGGTTTTTGGGTGTGGGCTCAATCAAGAAGGATAGTGTCGCAAGAATAGTCCTAAAAGTCCATCCACATCTACATCGAGGGTGCGACGCTGGGTGCCCACGGGGCGCCATCAGAAGGTCTACACGGTGCTGTTTAAACACCAGCTAGCTGCTAGCTAGAAGGTGGCAAAGGCACCAAACGCGCCTCTCGTTGCGAGTCGCAGCGGGAACGCGCCTTGAATAGCTCCTGCTGCTTCGCAGTGTCGAGCTTCTTCTCGCCATGGATCGGCAGGATCGACGCAGTTTGATCCATGTTCCAGTTTCGTCGAGTCGTCCTTTTGTTGATCTCTTCGCTTTGCAAAATCCCAGGTAGTTCTTATACAGACCACTTTGATTATAAAGCTTGAGCCCAAAACAGGACCGTGATCCAAAAGTTTGGGCCGATATCGCCTGGTATGCAGGTCGCACTTCGAGCAGACGCAGGTTTGACACCCCCAGTCTGAGGAAATAAGAACTAAATCCAAACACTAGAAGCCTCAGGCGTACTCCTAGACCCTTAGTCCGTAGTCCTTTGTGTTTTTATAGTAAGGTAGTTCTTATTTAAAACCACTAGATTATAAATCTTGAACCCTTAGCAAAAGAATGGCGTGGACTTCCTCGTGGAAGGAGAACATCGAGAAACCAGCGACCGCCACTGCGCCACCTCCTGTCATCATCTCCAGAACTTCACGGGCCAAACCGTGGGGGGCGCCCAGGTATTGATGGCCACCCGGTGATTCGCAGGGGCGCGGACCTGGAGTACCCAGCTGGACCGTGCCGACCGTGCCTTGGCAAGACTGGAGGGAGCTTGCGCCCTTGGGCTGCGGGTGCTGCGAGGGGAGTCCCGGAGGTTGGTTTTGGGCGATGACCTACAGGAAGCCCATAGGTTTTGGGGGTGAAAGTATGTGAAAGCCCTGGTTTCCTGCAGATGTTCCCATCAATCCATTGAGGCAGATGATTGCTTCCATAGGGCCTTGGTCCCTGAGGTGATCATATATAGGTCATTTGGTTTGGCCCACGATGTAGGACAATGCAGCTTCACGAGTGGTGTGGGTCCTGGATTGTGTGAAAGGCAGTGAGACCCCAACCAGTAGGAGTTCCAGAAGGAAACTGTGGAAAGTATGGAATCCATATTTGGGTATATATATAAGATGATTTCCCACTAGAGTGACTCGTATTTGTAGATGGCAGTGTAGATGGATGTAGATGGCACATATCCCCGCGAACCATATTTCAAGTACGAATCCACATATTCACCATGTCTTTTCTTCAGCCCTTTACTCTGAAAGAACTATTGTTTTGCGAGTCCAACATGGAACAACAGGCCATGGCCATCCAGACACGACCCATGGTACATGCCATAGGGGGTGGTGGTGTGAGGGTCTTTCTGGGTCGGCAAGTCTGGCAGTCCCAGACAAGTCGTGCTTGGGTGGTCTGAGTCTCTCGGCTGCCGTTTTTGGTGCCTGGCTGGAAGACCCACGTCGACCCACGTGTCTGACTGAGTCTTGATGCCATGAGACGGAGAGGGGTAAACCTCCTGAAAGGGCGAACGGAATCGTTTCAGAGCATGGATGAATCGATACGGAAACTGGGAAAGTTGCAGGAAAGTGAGGTCGATGTTTTTCTGTTGCCCGAACTGAAACGATCAGAAGAGAAGCTTCCGGAAGTCTTGAAGTGCTTCAAGGAGCAGAAACGTGGTGACTTGGCTTTTGCTACTTTGGATGCAGTCCGGAAAGATGGCACCATCAAGCTGAACGCATCCCAATACACGCAGGGAATTACAGCATGTGCCAGGTCAAAAATGCCACAGCAAGCATTGGAGTTGTTTGATGATATGCAAAAGGCAAAGGTTAAGCCGGATGTCTACAGCTACAGTGCCACCATCAGCGCATGTGAGAAGGGTGGTCAATGGCAGCAAGCATTGAAGTTGTTTGATGCCATGCCCCAGGCAAAGGTTCAGCC